GGGGCGGTGCGGAGGGGGGTTGTTGAGGGGACGGGGGTGAAGGATGCTCCAGGCGCTGCTTGCATCTGGTTCTGGGCTGCAGAGAGTGCCTGTAAAATGGGGAGTGAGCATTGAGAGAGGTCAGTCAGGCAAAATAGTCATCATGGAGAAAAACACTCTGTCCATGGGCACATCTCAATTTTAGGCAGAAATTAACTGTGAAAATCAGTTATGATGCAACTGCTCCATTTCATCTTCTCAAAATTCCCCGCAAATACTCTTCCTTCTGCATGAGTGTTCTGCGTCAGATCTGCCTTTGCTAGTAGCACTTAAATAGTTAAATTTATGGTCCAACTGGTCAATCATTGCAAACTTTTTTTGGGTTAAAAGGCTGTGCACAGCATTATTTTTAAAAAGCCTGTGACCCAATTGGTTCTAATCATTTTATTCTAATGATTATTCTTTAATTCCAAAGATTAGATTATTTTGATTATTCGCAGATTGACTATATTTTTTCTATTTATCTATTTTATTTACTTTTTACTAAAGAATCAGCTTTTGGATTTGGCACCACCTTTTTCCATTTTCTAATTCATTAATTTCTGCTTTTTATCTGTGTTTCATTTCTTCCTTATGCATTTCTTTGGCTTATTTTGTTGCTCTTCATTTTTTAATTTTTAGAGTTGGATATTTAATTCACTTCTTTCTTTCTTTCTTTTTGGATTGATTTTAGTTGGACTGATTTAAGACTATAAATTTTCTCATGAGATCTACTTTATCTGTATTCAAAAGATATCATTATTGCTGTTCTCTAGAAATGTTACAATTTTGATTTCTTTATCATCTTTATACAAAAAGTATTTAATAAAGTGGTTTAAAAATTTTTTAATACAAAATTCTAACCGTACACAAAAGTACAGAGAATAGTATAAGAAATTCCCATGTACCCATCACCTAGCTTCAACAATTATCAATACGTGACCAATCTTGGTTTATCTTACCCCAAATCCCAGACATCTTATCATTTTCTCTGTAAATATTTCAAAATGTAAACAGAGAGATTTTTAATTTCCTAGTGGAAGGGACATTTTGTTTCTGGCTTTATTATTAATGTCTGATTTTATTGCATGATGAGTACTGAGTATTTTCTGCACTATTTATCCCTTTGGAACTTCTGTAATTCACAAGTGTTACATGGGCAGTTGATAAGAAGGTGCATTCTCTATTCCGAGGATACAGAGTTCAATATCCATCACTTAGATTTACTTTAGTGTCATAGATTAGAAGTAGTAATGTAGACGTCTCTGTATATTGCTCATGATTCCTACTTTATGAATGGAGCTGCTGTACACATATCCTCATTACTATTACATCTTCTTGTAATTACACCTGTTAGCATTATAAAGTGCCCTTACATAATGGTCTTTTTGTGTGAATTCCATCTTATGTTAAGATTGAGAGCTGCACTTTCTTTTTTTTTTAAAGATTGGCACCTGAGCTAACATCGAGTGCCAATCTTTTTTTTCTTCTTCTTCCTTTCCCTCTCTCCGAAGCCCCCCAGTACATAGTTGTATATTCTAGTTGTAGGTCCTTCTGGCTCTGCTATGTGGCATGCCACCTCAGAGTGGCCTGATGAGTGGTGCCATGTCCGCGCCCAGGATCCGAACCTGCAAAAGCCTGGGCCACTGAAGCGAAGCGCACACACAAAGTTAACCACTCAGCCATGGGGCCAGCCCCTCCACTTTCTTTTTATTTGTATTTATTTGTTATAACCTGTCCTAATGTTTTCAGTTTTGGTCACCCCATTCTTCTAAACACCTTAGGCCTTATCATGCAATAGCAATCTTATCAGTCAGGGTTTTTAGTTGCAAGCAACAGAACCCACTCTAGTGAGTTTAAACAGAAAATCAAAGGATATTAGGTAACTCGTGATATTCCCAGGAAAGGCAGAGAATTAGTCTAGGGGGCTGTGCAGCCAGGGACAGCACCCATTCACCCCACAGTCCTTCTCTGGGACAGGACCCTGTCACATCTGGGCGCTGACCCTGCAGCTCACACCCCTGACACTGAGCAATGGAGAACAGCAGTGGACCTCTGCCACTGCTGTTCTGAAAGTCATGTGTCTCTCCACCACCCACCGCCCCTTCCAGAAAGAGATTCCACACAGCTCACTTTTCTTATATTGCCTCTTTTTAAATAGAAGTCTGATGGACAGGACCTAGATCAGTTCCTGTGCCCTGGCTTCAAGGAAAACTGGAACACCGAATTCTGCCTTCTGCCTTCAGGAGGAAAATTCATAATCTGGAGACTTCTCCAAAATATAGGAGGCCATATTTGCCACAAATATGATAAACACCTTTTACAGCAGTATCACTGAAGTTTCAGATATAGAAATTCAACTCCTAACTAAAAAGAGAATTTATTTTTAGAATCCATAACCAGATATTCCCCTGACATCATGTTGTATGTAGTTGTTTTTTGGATATTTGAACGCATGCAGGGTCTTTTCTAAAAATGTCCCTACTTTTACCAAAAAATCATATGTAATCATGAGTTTGACCTTTGCTTTCTTGCTTCTCTTAGGATCACTTCTTCCTCCTTGTTTCTACATCCAAAGCTCTTATTCCAGGCTCACAACTTCTTACCCAGAATACTAGACCTCTTCTGACAGTTCTCTGCCTTTTCTTCTCCTTTTCCCAAGCCATCCTACACAGTGCCCATACCAAACTCTCTGGTGTTATGTTCTCGCAGCCTGGTGGCAGGGTCCAAGCTTTGCCTCATCTTCATTTGGCAGACACGTGCTGAGCGACTATGCCGTGCTAGTCAATGTGCTTGGGGCTGGGGTTCAAACATGAGTAAGATAAGGCCTAATCTTAATCTAGACAGACCATCGAACAGGAAAACACAACATAATGCAAGTCCTATAAACTGTGGCACAGAGAAAGGTGCCTACACCAGCCTGGTGGGCAGAGGCAATCTAAGGAGGCTCCTGGAAAAGGGTCCCTCTGAACAGGGTGGGGAAGGAGCACCGGGATCTACCAGGAAAGGAGGGGGATGGTAAGCACAAGCAGCTGCCTGTGCAGAGGCAGGTAGGCCTGAGGGTGCTTTGTGCTCTGAGGAAAAGCCACAATTACCTTAATTCAGGACCGTAAGCTGCCTAAGATGATGTAGCAGGAGAAGACTGGTATCTCAGAGCAAGATATGACATATTGAGGAGTTGGGACACATTTCTTAAAGCCAATGGGGAGCAACTGAAGGCTTTTTAGCATTTTAGAAAGATCATCCTAGAGGCCAGCCCCATGGCTGAGTGGTTAAGTTCACATGCTCCACTTCGGCTGCTGGGGTTCGCAGGTTTGGATCCTGGACGTGGACCTATGCATGGCTCATCAAGCCATGCTGTGGTGGCATCCCACACAGAACTAGAAGGACTTACAACTAGGATATACAACTATGTACTGGGGCTTTGGAGAGAAAAAAAAAAAGAAAGAAAGAAAGACCAACCTAGCCACATTATACAGAACGGACTAGAGGAGCTTGCTGGTGGCAGGCAAAAGGTAGAAGGCTATTGCTGAAACCCATGAGAGAAGTTATGGGGTGGCAGTGGTGGTGGCTGTGGGGATATTGACGGGGGACAGACTGGAGAGGTCTCAAGATGGGATCAAAGGCACTTAGTGACTGTGAGAGATAGAGCAGAGCAAGAGTCAGAGAAGACTCGGGATTTCTATGTTCCTTGGGTGGAGAGGTTCTAAAATGAGTCTATGAGAGGAGGTGCAAATTTGGGGAGAGCGGGTAGAGTGCTGATCGGAATGTCCCAAGTGGAGTGGTCCAGCAGGAATCTGGAAGTTAACAAAACTGTGGTGGAGGCTGAAGCCTCAGGAGTAGGGGCGATGCCCCAGGGGAGGCTGGGGAGTGAGGCTTCTCAACCCTGGGTGCCCATCACAAACACCTGGAAAGCTTGGAAGGATACTGATGCCTGGGCAGCGATTAAAGCCCCCTGGCTGGTTCTAATGGGCAGCCTGGGCTGAGAGCCACTGGTCCAGAGAGGAGGATGTCAAGCGTACAGGATGCCCCTTCTCTCCACCCTTTACCAGCCAAGTGACCGTGGGAAAGTCATTAGCCTTTCTGATCTTAAGTTTCCACCTCTAAAAAATGAAGACTGTAAAACTTCAATGAATTCTAAGTATCAAATCTCACAACATGTGTAAAGCACCCAACACCATTCCTGGTGCATACTTCAGACCAGACAAGCATCAGGATTCACTACAGGACCAAGTCTGAGGAAGGGCCTACGCTCAGCCCACATCTCCAAAGAGCGCTGGGCTTTCTGTTTAACAGGAGGGGAAACAAGGACTCTCCCCAACCCGGAATGAACAGAATGACACCCCTCTGGGTGCACACAGTCTGGTGGCTCACACAATAGTCTTTACAACTTACTGCAAGCCGTGGAGGCAGCACGAGGTCTCAGCACTGAAAGCGATATTTCAGCGGCTCTGACTCTTGGTTAAGATATGACACCCATATAGTCACTGAACAAAACATTCCTGAAGCAGCCATTGTGCGCCAGGCAGGGTATCTATTAGGCATTCCTTCTTTCTTTATCCAACATCACTGAGTGCCTACTGTGTGCCAGACAGCACACTGTGTTCTGGGGAAGCGATAATAAACAAGAAAGAGATGGTTTATAACTCCGAAGGGGCAGACCTTTCTCCTTGACATCTCTCTACTCTGTCCCCTCCCCAACATCCCCACAGCCACCATCATTGCCACCCCATAATTTCTTTCATGGGTTTCAGAAATAGCCTCCTAACTCTCGCCTATATCCAGTAGCAAGCTCCTCCATGTCAGATTATTTATCAAAAAATCACACAAATGAACATCACATTACTATATGATTATACAAATACACAATATTATGGGATCATATATGAGGGGGCCTCCATCAAATAGAAAGACCAGGAGGGCTTCCCTGACAAAGTGACAAGCAAACTGAGAAAAGCAGGTGCTGGCCAAAGCGTGGGTGGGTGAGAAGAGATTTCTCCGGCCTTCCACACCTCACCAGTCAGCTGTCTCACGCCTCCACGCCCTTCTTTACGCTCCTCTCTCAGCCTCAGACATCCTGGCCGCCTGGTCCTCCAGCCAGCACTCCTCATCATCCATCCACCTCAAACCCATCTCCTCCTCAAGGTCTTTTCTGACCACATCCTGTTCTCCCAATCACCCCTCCTTCCTGTCTCCACCGTCCACCATCCACTGATCTATCATCGAACCTCTAACCCCTTAGAGCAGGAGACTGAGGTGGGCAAGTCTGTTGGGTCTGTTTACCTCTCTATCCAGCAGCTAATACAACATCGGGTGCCTTAGTCAGAGTTCCCCAGAAAAAGAGAACTAACAGGGTGTGTGTGTGTGTATGAGAGAAAGAAAGTGAGAGGGGGAGAGAGGGATTTTAAGGAATTGGCTCAGGCGATTGGAGAGGCTGGTAAGTCCACAGTCTGCAGCGGAGATCAGCAGACTCCAGCCCCATGGGAGAGCTGATGTTGCAGCTCTGGGCCAAAGGCAGTCTGGAGGCAGAACTTCCTCTTCCTCAGGGGACGTCAGTCTTTTTTCTCTCAAGGCCTTCAACTGATTGGATGAGGCCCACCCACGTTATGGAGGGTAGTCTGCTTTACACAATGTCTACTGAGTTAAATGTTAATCTCATCTAAAAGATACCTTCACAGCAACAGCTAGACTGCTTTTGACCAAATATCCAGGTACCGTGGCATCACCAAGTTGACACATGAGATTAACCATGCCACCACGTAAAAACAAGTGCTTGGCAAATATTTGTGGAATGAACTGATGAAATCTGCTAACGTTACTTTTATCTTCTCCTTTCTCTTCCTTTTCCTTCCTCCTTCATCTGCTCCTCTTTTAATGCCTTTCCCAACTCCTCCCCCTTTCTCCCACTTCCTTTCTATCCTTTATCTATATCTTTCCCCCACTGGTTCCTCCCAGGTTTGCTGGGGGGGGTCCCATCAACTATGGAGCTCCACAAGGAGTCCGGGGGAGCAGAAAAGCCCCTGACTGTCACCACGTTGATCCCTGAGAGCCTCCCACCTGGCATGAAAAGAAACACAAGGGAAAGGAACTCATCAAGGACGAACTACGTCAATGCAGAGCCAGGATGAGCACCCAGGTCTCCTGGCAACCAGAGCTCTTTCCACTAACTGTGCCAAACCCGCAGGTGGGGACCGGCTGAGGAGTCACAAAGGCCCCTGGAGGAGAACCCCCCTCCCCACAGACCGCACTCCAGAGAAACCACGGTACCTGGACCCCTGCGCCGCCCTACAGGGAGTCAAAGAGTTCCAGGCCTCTGGAGTCAGAATCCAGGTGTCTCCTCCTCAGGGGGCAGCATGAGACCCACGGTGTCTTCGGTCGCCTCTGCATCAGGTTTCTGACGTGGAGCGATACCGTGCTCGGCTCCACTTCACAGGACTTCATCTTGACCCGCCCACTTCTGCGCAAACATAAGCCTCCGCCAAACTACCTTTCTTCCTTCTCCCTCCCTCCTTTCAATACACGTTTATCGAATACTTTCTCTGTGCCAGATGTTAGGGACACAAAGATAAATAATAAGCCAAGGTCCTGGTCTCGGAGAGCTCCCACGCCAGTGGGGACAGACTCGAGTGGCTGTCGCATGTGCCTTCTTGCCTAGACTGCATCCGTGACTGGTCTCCCCGGCAGCCCTCTGGACGGGCTGGCTCCCTGCTCACGGACAGCTTTGTCCACCTCTTCCAATTTATGCTTTAAAATACTGAGACCGGAGAGGGGAGGTGCTCTGGCAAGACACCGCGGGTCTCCCAACAGCAAGTTCAAGGCCGAATCCTGTTTCTTTTCATTAAAGCCAGCTGCTCAAGGGGGGTGAGCCCCCGTCTTAGGAGTCGTTGAACAGTTCCAACCACTAGAGGGCACCAAACAACCCTCCATCGGTCCACATGGCCCCACATCCTGCAGAGACTGCACGCCAGGTCACTGTGCTCCCAGGGCCACAAAACTAAAGCATTTTATCTTTCTCAAAGTGAGCCTGGCCCACCAGGCAAGCTTGAAACTGACTGCACAGACTTTACTCTTGAGCTAATAATAAGGTAAGAGGTGAGGGAGTCAAGCTGTCTTTATACGAAGGAAAGAGGCTACGGATTACCTTATTAATTAGCATATCAGAACCAATGACATAAAAGATTTCTAGAACCTATGCTCATTACCTATCCATCTGCCAAACTCTCATGTCGCTAGATAACCAAACACAACCTTGCATTATTGGCAAGCCATTGTATAGCAGTGGCATCAAATAAATGCCAGACCATGGACCCATGCATCAGAGTCACCTAAAAGGTAGGTCTTCCTTTCTCCCCCTCCCTCCTCTCTTCCTTCCTTGATATGTACTTGAGGACCACACCCACTTATTCTTTTTAATGTCTGGAATGGACGCAGGAATGTGTGTTGTCGAAAGCCTTCTGATGTGTAAAAGAGTTTGGAAGCCACTGCTATAAATGGGAGCATCCGCGGAGAGCAAGAGTGAGAGAGAGAATTGAACTCAAAGGTAACTCGCACCTTTGGGGCTACCAGAGGGAGAACAAGTCTGCAAGGTCGCTGGGCGTCCTGAGCATTGTCCCCCTGCTTTGTCAAGCAGCAGCTGCATTTGGTCGTTGGAAAGTGGTGTGAGTCTCTCGGCTGAGGACCCTCTCCCATGACTTGAATCTCAGTGGGATCAAGGCTATCACAAGGCAGGGTATCCTGCTGGAAAGGACACTGGTTTGGGATTAGACCAGCCTCAGTTTGTATCCAGCTCTACCAGCTAATGGTTATGTGCCCCCATTCAAGTGTCCATGAATTCCCCAAGCCTCAGTTTTCTTATGTGCAAAATAAACATAATATTCATCTTGTTGTAGGGAGTAAATGAGCAAAGATCTGCAAAGCGCTTAGTGCCTGGAGGAGTGCAATGCCTGGGAGGTCAGGGATGCTGTCCATGGGTGGACTAGTATTATTATCAGCCTATGAGAAAGGACAGCAGGACAGCCCCGCCCCTGCTTCCTGCAAGGACCAGGCGCCTGGGCTGTCTGCAAATCTGTATTACAAGATACACTTCATCAACTCCAGCTGGTGGTTTACAGGGAGGACTGTCTTTCTAGCACGCAGTCAAAATTTGTCAGCTGAGAAGCACACATGTCCTCACAGTCCAGTCAGGGGTAGAGAGCCTCAGCGTCCGTTTCTACCAGTCTTCAGAAACTTGCCGAGTCTGAGGATGACCTCCATGTTCAATCCCAATGGCCCATGGAGTCCTATAAACATTTCCCGGACCTCTCCTACGAGGGACCCTGCTGAGTGTCTCCTCCTCCTTGAAGCATCTGTACCTTCGCTCCTAGGAATCGCAGGAGCCCCCCAAGCTGGCCTGCTTCCCTCTGATCACTCCCTCCTGGTTGTTCTTTATCCACACCATGCTCATCAGCATCCCTCAGGATTCTGTCCTCGGCCCCCTGCCCTTCTCCTTTAAGCTCCTCTTAAGTGATTTCATCCATGGTCAGGGTCTGTCGGTCCCTGCAGGGCGATGCTGTCTTTTCTACCTCTGACCTTTAGTTTCATATCTCAGGCGTCTTCTGGGCAGCCACTTATGGGGTATTCATATGAATTTTAAAACTGATATGTCCAAAATTAAATAAATCATCTTGTCCTGAACCTCCTGCTCCCATATACATACCCCCTACCAAATGACCTTATCTTCCTCCTTGTTGCTAATCAATTAATCAGGTCACCATCTAGTCAATTCCCAACCAGAAATCCAGCAATCATCTTCCTATTCCTCTCCCACCACGTTTAATCCTTCCCCAAACCCTGCTGATTTTCTCTCTCGAACACGTTCAGCCCATCTCTAACCCTTATGCAGGACCTCAGCATCTTTCCCTGAACCACAGTGACACAAAGAATTTAAACTCCTTGGTGCCATGTCTGCCCCCACCGATGACAGCATTTCCACTCATTCTCTACCACACAGCTCACAATTTACAATCTCGTAAGATAACATTGTGGCCCTCTCAAACCAGAAAGCCATTTTATGCCCCATGCCCTTCCTTGTGTCAATCCCTTTACTGAGGACACCCATCCCACCTGTCATCACTCAGCTCCCTCTTACTCACGGTGGTGGGTTGAGTGGTGGTCCCCTAAAAGACACGTCCATCCGATCCTGTGAATGTGACCTTATTTGGAAAAAGAGTCTTTGCACATGTAATTAAGTTAAGGATCTCACGATGTGATCATCCTGGATTCTCCAGGTGGGCTCTAAATCCAATGACATGTCCTTTTAAGAAGAGAAGAGACACACAGACAGCCATATGAAGACAGAGGCAGAGATTGGAGGGATGCTGCCACAAACCAAGGAACACCTGGGGCCGCCAAAAGCTGGAAAAGACAAAGAAGGAAATCTCCCTAGAGCCTTCAGAGGGAGCACAGCCCTGCTGACACCTTGATTTTAAACCTCCAGCCTCCAAAACTGTGAGACAATAAATTTCCATTGTTTTAAGCTACCAAGTTTGAGGTAATTTGCTATGGCAGCTCTAGGAAACTAACACACTCACCCTTCAGGACTCAGTTCATACATCATCTCCCCCAGGAAGTCCTCCCTGAGTTCCTCCTACCATGACCCCCCCCCCCCCCCCCCCCCCCCCCCCCCCCCCCCGTCCTGCCAGCTTATATCAGAATCCCTTCCTGTGTCTGACTCGCTTGATAAATTCCTGAAAGGCAGCAACTAGGTTCCGGTCCCCATTGTAATATGAGGGTCCAGCATGTTCCAGGAAGATAGCAGGTACTCAACCAGATCAGTGCATGAGAATCCCAGTCCCTGTGCAGCTCCTATGGTCCAGGCCTTATGCCCAGAACTTCACAAATGTTACCTCGGTGAGTCATCTCAATAAGCCAGGAGGTCGGGACCATCATCTTTGCTTCATAGATGCAGAAGCTGAGGCGCAGCACCTGGCCCCAGAACAATCTGTAAGTAGAGTTGGAATTTATATCCAGATCTCTTTGAATCACAGGTCCTAGTGAGCATGAGCATGGCATTTTCAAAAGGCCAGTGGCCAACGAGAAGAAGAGGGATGTTGGAGCAGAGTGGAGAAAAGATTGGGTCTTGATTAGCTGGTTTTGAGACAGAACCATGTGTGTGCGTGTGTATGCACATGTGTGTGTGTGTGAATGGTAAGGAGGGCCATAGGTTAGTACATTAAAGATGAGCTAACTCATAATGCAGCATAGATATATTACAGCAGCTTCAATTCTGAGGCCTGGGAGCAAGGGGTCCTGTGACACAAGAGGGAGAAGAAAGGACGCAGAGGGAGAAGGAAGAAGAGGAGGAGAGGGATAGCTCTGCTACGCTGGGACACAGAACATGTTCTTCCTTCATCCTCTCCATCACTTCCTCTTGTCCGTGCCTCTGCCCCTTCCGGTGGCCTTGTGCTCAAGCATCAGTGCACAGATGCTGTCTCAGCTGCCACGGTGACACTTCACCAGGTACAGGAGGCTAAATAATGGCCCCCAAAGACATCCATGTCCTATCTCCTAGGACCTATGAATGTTTCCTTATATGGCAAAAAGGGACTCTGCAGATTTAAATTAAGGATCTTGAGAGAGGGAGGTTATCTTGGATTATCCAGGTGGGCCCTAAAGGCAACCTTAAGTAACCTTATAAGAGAGAGGAAGAGGGAGATTTGACACAGAGGAGAAGGCAGAGTGACGGCAGAGGCAGGGACTGGAGTAATGCGAACATGAACCAAGGAATGCTGGCAGTCAGGAAGCTGAGAGGCAAGGAACAGACGCTCCTCTGGACCCTGCAGAGGGAGCGCAGCCCTGCTGACACCTTGATTTCTGCCCAGTGCTACTGATTCCAGACCTCTAACCTCCAGACTAGGAGAGAATAAATTCCTGTTATTTTAAGCCATTAATTTTATGGTAATTGGTTACAGCAGCCACAGGAAACTAATATATCAGGTCTTCCAAAATTACCTCCGTCTCAGTCAAACTTGTTTTCTTAACAGCCTTCTTTAATTTGGTGTTAGAGAGGGACAAAATCTGGTTATATCAACTCACCCTAACGACAGTCCCTTAATACTCTCAGAGGCAATGGAGTTTTTAAAGGAGGGTACTTACAACGCCTAAAATTCATGTCTAACCGGTAAGATTAACGTAAAGAAATGAAGTGAACAGAAACTGCAAGCAGTGGGGTGCAAATTTAGGGAGGTGGACCAACAAACAGGCAAATTAGGGATGGAGGTCTGCCATCAAGGGCTGTCCCCTTAGTCAGGTCCTTCTTTTCACACATGGGAACTTAAAGATTCTCCAAAAGCTCTACGTTTGTTCTCAGTGGCTCCAATGCTGCCCCGTGCAGTGCCTGCCACGCTGTAAATGCTGAATCTGCTGGTGAGTGAATGAAGATGGCAGAGAGGGAGGGGAGGAGCAGCAAGGCCACCTGCAGGCACACGGAGGGGGGGTCTGTCAGACGTCTGCCACTTGATTACTGTCCATAAATGGAACCTGTTATTAACATTCATGTAATTTACATTTCTCCTCAACCTGAAGCTTTTCCCCAAGTACTATGTTATTTATTGCATTTTACAATAATTTCTTATTGTCAGGAACACATATCTTGAGTTTTCTGTGCAAATTCACCCCATAAAGCAGATGAAGTCTTTCTGCTGTAGAAAGACCTCCCTCAACACTCCAAGGCAAAGCTCCTCACTGATAACTTCTGGATGGTTGCTCAAGTTAGCACAGAGCAAAAAGCTGACATTATCAGCCCCAAAAGAAAAGCCAGTTGCCCAGAATAATCAAAGCCCACAATGGACACCATTGACAGCATCTGCAATATACTGTCTAAGTGATGTGAGCATCAAAACCTGGAAAGCAAGACCTACACCTATCCTGCAAGCTCCCTACAAGTGTTCTTTTTCAATAGTTATATTTACACTTCCTTTATTTTTTTTTTTTTTTTTGGTGAGAAAGATTCACCCTAAGCTAACATCCGTTGTCAATCTTCCTCTTTTTGCCTGAGGAAGATCGTCACTGAGCTAACATCTGTGCCAGTCTTGCTCTATGTTGTATGTGGGACACCGGCACAGCATGGCTTGATGAGCAGTGTGCAGATCCATGCCTGGGATCCAAACCCATGAGCCCTGGGCCGCTGAAGCAGAGCGTGTAAACTTAATCTCTATGCCACCGGGCCAGCCCATTCTCTAGTTCTTTTAAGAGTGCCAAAATGAATGGTAAAATATGACCACACGGGGCCCTATGAGAGATGAGCCTGTAGAATGAGCTCCAGCACTGATGACAAAATAATCCTCTAACCCCTCCTTGTTTTCCTTCGTTAGACAAAACTATGTTGAGCAGCTGCTACATTC